ATGTTCCTTAGCCCGGCAGCGCCAACACCATCTGGGAGTGTTCAGGCCCAAACCCTGACCTACCGAATCAGAAATCCTAGGGAATGGGGCTCAGCCTGGGTTTTCACAAGCCCTCCAGGCTATTCTGATAAATACTAAAGGTTGAGAGCCACTGTTGTAGATCATCTTAGGTAAATTAAAAATTGTACCTTGTATCTGCTTTATTTTATAGACTCCATATTGGAGAAGTTATAATGTTTATGACACACTGAAATCAGGATATAAATTGAACTCAGAGGCATTCTAAATTTATATTGGTCTATCTCTGTAGTCTCCTCTTGCAAATGTAGTTTTGTGAGAAGCCCAGATTTCCCCTTGGCCTTACGGACCTTACTTCATTCCAACTCCAGCCCAAACATACACTTGAAATCAAACTCTGAGTGGCCTGTGCAACTCAGTGCTCAGAGAGTGTATGACTCTTGTTTTCTCTGCTTCTCATGGTTACCCCTCAGGTAGTTTACGATGACTCAGAAGCCTGCTTTATCAGGTTGCTGGATATTGTCTAAGGATCATTTAACTAACAGTTCTTTTTTGTGTGTGAATAAAGCCCAGATCTGTTACTGTTTTTTAAGACTGAAGATTTGTTTCTTTTCAGTTTTCTTTTTCTGCTGCTAAGGATTGAATTGTGGTACAAAGCTGTTTAAAGGTATTGTTTCCTCATCTACTCCTTTGCCTTTGATCAGTAGCTTTCATTTTATGTAAAGAAAACATCCTATTTTACACCATCTCCTTGCACACATTAAATTTTCACCCAGTATTAAAGGAACGACTTAAATGAATATAAAAGCATTCTTTTCTGTTTAGCATATATATTTGGTATCAATTTTGAGTACTTATAAAATTAATTTTACAGTAATCATTCTATTTTGTATGTACATTATTAAATTCTTTAACTAGAAATAATGGTGAGAAAACAGGCAACAATCGCTACACTGTTTATTTGTACTGGGCTGGTCTCTCCTTTATATCTTAATGCCTAAAATAAGTTACTTGTTTTTGACTGTTTATGGTGTACAACAAAGCAGTACTAGTGAAAAATTTCCTGGATTTAATTTTTGAAGTCGATAGCTTTTAGTGAAATACTAAACACTTACTTATGTATGAAAAATACTTGATGAATATGTAATTTAGATACGATAAATACGTAATGATTTAATCTTGTGAATAAAGGGATAAAGTCACTCTTCCGGTTTGCAAATCTAATGCATAGAAACACGTGCATGCATTTGGGGGAATGTATTTGTATCTTTGGGAGGCAGCATATTGTGTAGTTTAAAAACAGAAGCTCGGAAGTCAGATTGCCTGGGTTCAAATCTTCACCTTGGGGAAGTTTACTGTCCACCTTGGGCAGGTGACGTGTCTGAGTGTCACTGTGTTTCATCTGCATGGTGGGATCTGCACAGGGCATGTGATAGTAGTAATAGAGCTAGTTAGTGAGGTGCTTCTGCCATCGCTGCCCCCAGGGGTTGTGTGTTGCAGTATTATTGATATCAGCAAAAGAAAAAAAATTTAGAAACAACTCTGACATTGTAACACTGGGAAAGGGGATAAATTAATTCTAATATACCTGTACAGTAAGATCTGTGAAGCCATTTAAAAGAACAAGAGAGAGTTAACGTGTTTTGTCAAGAAAAGAGTTCCATAACATATTAAGTGAATAATGCGAGCCTGGTACATGACGTCAGTGATTATGCATGTGTGTTACAGAATGTGCATGAGAAAAAAACCCAGAACACATCACAAAACTGAAGTTGTTCAGTTTTTCCCCTGGGGATTAGGTTACAAGAAACTTTTGCTTTTCCATTATGTATTTCTATAATTTTAAACATTTTTTTAATTTCAAATAAAGTATAAAAATGGATATATTTATGAACAAAAAGTTTAAGGAACAGAAGGCACTGGATTAATAACATGTTATTCACGTATTCTGCTTATAAGCATATTAATTGAAAATAGTACATACTACATGATTTTAAGCTCATTTATAGAAATTTCAAAGAATCAAAAGGCAGGATATTCATTCTTCCATTAAGTGTCTAGTGAGCAGTTACTCTGCTACTAGCCTGTGAGTTAAAAGGTGAGTGGCTGGTTACTGTCTGGAGGACAGACATGTAAAGAAGTAAGTACAGTTCAGTCTGTTAAATGTTAATACAGAGTAGAAGAGGAAACTAATAATTTTATGTGGGGTAATCAGGGAAGACTGAACTGAAGAGGTGACATCTGAGCTTTCTCTTGTAAGATGAGTAAGAGTTTATAAGGGGTGGCGCAGAAGGATGTCTGTGGTAACAGGAATAGTACATGCAAGGAGACAGCATGATTTTGTGAAAACTTGGAGGGTGGAGTGAGGATTGGGTGTGTGAAGAAGACTTACTGAGAAATGAGTCCAGCTGGCATTTTCCCTTTGTTGGTAGAGAGCAAGGGAAATGTTTTTAAAGGCAGAGTGACACATAAAAGTTGAGTAGGTGGTATTTTAAGAACACCCTGGTGGCTGTTTGATAGAAGACACTGGAATGAGGAGAGGAGAGGAGAAGTCAGGCATCAAGGAAGAAAGCTTGATAGTGGTTAAGAAAAAGAGCTGGAAACTCTTGATGGTTGAATTCTTAAGACAGACTACAACAGATCAGTCAGAGTGAATGTAAGTGGAGCCTGCAGCGTGGAGTGAGGGGAGCGGAAAGTGAAGGTTCGTTTGTCTCCAGGATACTGCTCTTGGTTCTGACTCAGACAGCCAGGGTAGACAGTGATCCTGTGTGCTTTTGTTTTTGGGGGGTTTTTGTTGTTGTTGTTGTTGTTGTTTTAAAGATAGGGAGTCCCTTTTATCAGGCAGGTTTGGACGCTATCATGAGGTCTGTTGGGGTCATTGGGTTGAGGCTCCCAGTGGCATCCAGTGACTTCTGTTGACTTGTTCATCATCATGATGTCTTAGGAGCTTAGAATTTTGGTCGCTTGTTTTTCAGAAGCATTTTATCATTGAGCCGTCTTCACAGTCAAAAGTAGTAACAGACCCTTCCTTCGTACTCAGTTTTATCTTCCCAGTGGGAAAATAGAGCCCAAAGTGGCAGTGAAGGCTGCGGAGCAAACTGGTTTGATTTATCTGTGTTAAACAAGTTTGCTTCTGATTTATCTGTTACTCAACATGGGATCCTTACAGCAGATTCCCAGCCCTGGACGTGGCTGGCATTGTGTACAGAATTCCACATCCAGGACTGGAGGAGGGAGGGTCTTGCCCCTGTGGCCTCTCTAAGAGTACAGAACACTCTAGTTTCACATGCCTCCGTTTCCTGACAGGGTTTTGACCCCATCAGACCAGATCTTTGGTAACAGTATAGTAGCAAATTGGCCTGTTCCTGACACACATGAAAGTGGCCTAGAATTAGGGCTTTGGGTCCGCTGGGTCTGTGTGAGGGGTTTGTTTAACAAAGGTACTTACCAGCACCGCTGGCTTGGACTTCCAGTGCAGAAAGAAGGAACGTGTTCCATTTTTTGCGCAGGAAGCGCACTTTGTCTCTGGTCTTGGATGCGGGAGATGAATACACAGAAGTGTAGTTATGAGGAAAATGGCTCAGGAGTCGGGCTGCTGGATTTGAGTGTCATTTTTGGCGCTAGCTTTGTGATGTTGAGACTGCACCACCGTGTGCCCCAGTTTCCTCATTAGAATGGAGATAGTACTGCGGCTTGCGTGTCACTGGTTGCTGGAAGGATTAGATGAGTTAATGTGTGTAATGCGCTTAGCACAGTGACTGGTGCACCATAGGCGGTCGCTTCATGTTGGTCCACAGATGGAAAGTTTTAGGCCTTTACTTGGACTCTCCCATTTACCTTAGCCTCTCCTGACTCCTGGTAGGAATAGGAAGTGGAAGGGGAATGAAGAAGTAAGGAGACGAGGAGAAAATATGCTTGAACTTAGTCATTTATTTGGGGCCTCTCTTCATTGCTGTTACCTCTCAAAGGCAGCTCCCTAGCTTCCATCCCTCATGAAGATGGAATAATCTTCTTATGCTTACTGTGTTCCGTAGTCCTAGCCCCAAGGATTGTTTCCTCACGCTGTGGCTTTTTTTTTTTTCCAAACTGAAGTATAGTCCATTACAACGTGTCCATTTCTGGTGTACAGCACAGTGTCCCAATCATGCATATATACATACGTATATCAGTTTTCATATTCTTTTTCATTAAAGGTAATACTACAAGATACTGAATACAATTCCCTGTGCTTATACAGAAGAAATTTGTCTGTGTGTGTGTGTGTGTTTAAACACTGTAGCTTTGAAGTTATATCTTTTCTTTTTCTTCCTGAGAAATTTACCTTCCAGCAATTGTGGTACTTACCCTGTCCCCTTCCCAAGTCTCTGACAAACTTAAACTTCCGGCCACAATCCCCACCTCCTAGGAACTTATGGGCTGCTTAAAAATAAGCTTTTTTTTGGACTGTGTTTTCTCTGTGATAGTTTTCTTGGTATGAGCCAATCACATAAATAATGAAAATAAATGGAACTTGGCAGGCTTAGCGAAACTGTGCTTTATATTAAGCAGAATGTTTGTGATACTGCAGGCGCTCTGAGAGCACTTGCATATAGTCCTTGTTGAAGACCCTTAGAGTCCCTAGGAAGGCACTGTCACAGAGCTGACTGGACTGGGGGTATCACCAGAGCTGCTGCATGTCATGTCTTGTACTGACAGTAATAGTACTTATTTGGGTCATGAGTTCCAGAGGATTTTTTGAAAATCTGTCCCTTTTTTCATCTGTGTCTTTGGGGATGCAGATTTTATTATTGGGTAGATTCTTTTTAGGGTAGAAGAATCAGGTTGTAGATTTACCTTACTTCTCTGAACACGTGCCTAATTCTGTTTTAATGAGTTGGTTTATGTCAGGATGTGTTTTCCTTTTAAATTAGCACTCTTCCCACTTTTTTTTTTTAGGTGCACCAAATAAAAACCAACTGTAATTTTTTTTTCTGTATTTATAGGTCCTCTTCCTGATGGATGGGAACAAGCAATGACTCAGGATGGAGAAATATACTATATAAACCATAAGAACAAGACCACCTCTTGGCTAGACCCCAGACTTGACCCTCGTTTTGGTAAAGGTTCATCTCAAAACCTTTTTAGATGTTTTTGATCACTGTTTTCTGGTGTGCGAATTTGGGAAGGTACATTTGAATTAAATTGCATCGCTTTATAGTTTTAGAAAGTGACCACCCACCCAGCTTTGTCAGCACTACTTTTATACCTGTCACTTTCAACTTGAGAGATTCAGGTCTGAATCGGCTCTTTAGCTTGGACTTCTGCATCGGGTTGGGGGAATGTTGTGATGGCTTACTAACTGGACTTGCTGTTCCTTTCACATTTGGGGAAACATGGTGATCTTGTTGGAAATGGTCTTTCTAGCTGCAGTAGTAATAAGGCTGTCATGCTTCATCTAAAACCTGGCTGTCGGCTTTCGTCAGTGACCTGGTATCTGCTTGTGCCTGACTTCAGAGAGAATGAGTGCCATCCTGTGCCTGGGTGTTGCAATGTTTTCTGTCCTAAATTTGGGATGGGGGGACCTGGTCACTCGAGAGATAGACCAATGAAAGTACTTTTTCCCTGATCTTCACTTCTGGCCCTCTTTTTTTTTTTTTTTAAGTAAACTTTTTTTCTCTTTATTTTTCATTTAGGGAACAAAAAACAAAGCCATATTTCCCTCCGAATCAAATGACAGAAATTACCATGAGCACAGAGGAGGACTCCCCTCCCCAGTGTGCACATTTTGATGATAGTATACAAGCTCATTAGGGCCTTTTTATCCATATTTTTTTTCGCTGTTTTCCGTTTCTTCAGTTGGGTTTCTGAGATATTTTTCCAAAGCCACGGAAAAATGAATCTAAAAAGGAGCAGACCATTGTGGTTTTAAAGCTTTCGTCTTGGACTGGATGCAGCTAAATGAAAACAATGTGCAGATCGCTGAGTAGGTCAGGCTGAGGGGACAGGGAACCTTTGAAGCTTTACAGGGGTTGACCTAACAACAACTCTGGGGCCCTTACGGGAAAAGGGAATTAACTCCGTGAATGCCATCAAAACACAATCCTGGGGGAAAAAAGGAAAAGAAAAAACTCTGCCCGGAGCTGGTTGGGTAGAATAACTTCCCTGTCAGGCCCATTCTGAGCAGATCTCCTGTGTCTGCATGTATGCATACCTTTTTAAAACCCCAACATTCGGATTTGCCCCAAACTGACTGACTGGTCAGCTTCATGAACTGATTGAACGCCTATTCACGTCAAGTCAGAGGTGGATTCAGGGCACAGACTGTCATTTTGACAGATACCCGGTTTGGTTTAAATGCTAGCCTTTGAGCTTCAAGACCTTTTTGGGTGCATTTAATAATTTGCAACTTCAGATTCTATTTGATATTTGAATAAGCCCTTGAGGTTGAAACAGGAAACCAAGTAAGGTAGAGAATTTACTAAATGCTGCCATTTGTATGGACTAGAACAGTAACAGCCATGTTTCCTTAAATCATCTGTAATGAAATGAATTCAGCTTGTCTATGTTTTGGAAATTTTCTTAAATGGTACTGTGGGTTTTTTCCCCCTCTACTTAAGGTTATGAAAAATGACGATTAACTCTTAGCTAACTGTAAAAATCGGGAATTGGAACAAAGCTTTTTTTAAAAAAAAGAAAAAATATTTTTAATTAATAAAAAGTGAAATAAAGTAACTTGGCAGTGAGCTTAAGTAGATCCATGAATTACACACACAACTTGGTCTTTTGTTTTAAATGGGAGAAAGTATCAAAAAAGAAGAATTTTCCTTCCTATCTTGAACACGTATGTACACACGAGCACACAATTAGGTATGCCAAAAAAAAGGTTTCATAAAACACTCTTACTGCTTTTAGCTTCCCTTTTTGGGCCCACTGTGTATGTGTATTCCAGACAGGCTTGACAACATGCCAAAGCTTTTTATTTTGTGGCCCGACTTTTAATCTGTTCCAGACCTTTTCAGTCAGAGAGCTCAAGTGTAACTGAAGGGGAGCAGGAAAGGAGAAAAAAAGCGTGGGTTCCTCTGATGCAGAGTGACAGCAAATAGAGACAGGCTGTTAGCTGCTGAACTAGAAGGAATTTTCCTTGAAATCTCAAGTTCTATGGTGTATTGCATTTTATCTGCCAAAAAAATATAAACTATCCCCTTTCTGACCCTTTGAGCCATGCAAACACCAACAAATGAGAGGTTATTGCTTTCATGGTTGTGCAGTTTGCTTTCCTATATTCCCCAAATCTAAATTAAGGTATTTACCTATTCTTACGTAAGTCAAATTGAACTATGTTTTTGACATTTTAGAGTGGAAGATACATCTCACCTCTGTCTAAGCTTACCTTTATCACTCGCCTTCTTCCGACGCTAGCCTCTTTTATATTTCTGTTCTTTATCAGAGGCCTTAGAGTAATTATATTTAGAATAATTTATCAGTCCTTCACATCCCACCTGGAGTTATACATTGTTCATACAAATTCAAGAAATTAAATAGTAATTTGTTGTGCATTGATTCTTTTTAATCTGATTTTCTTGTTCTTTAACACTTAAAAACTATATGCCTTTAAAAATGTTTTTAATTGAAATATAGTTGATATACAGTATTAGTTTCCAGTGTTCAACATAGTGATTCAGTGTTTTTATAGGTTATATACTCCATTTATAGTTATTACAAAGTAATGACTACAGTTCCCTGCGCTGTGCGATATATCCTTACTGCTCATTTATTTTATACACAGAAGTTTGTATCTCTTAATCCTATAGTCCTATCTTGCCCCTCCCTAATAACTATATATCTTTGACATTTATATTTTAGAGCATTGATGAGTAATTTGTAACAAACCATGAAGTGACATCCAGTGGCAGTAAGAATTAGCTGATATTTAATGGCTTTGAAAAAAGAGGGCTTTTGTTTGTTTTTAAGGAATCATATTATGAATATTTTTACCCTGTGTTAAAGAAGTTGATGCTTGAGTATTATGCAGGTCATTAAATTTTTCCTTGTATGTTGTAGAATTTTTGTTTTACATAATATAGCCAGATGAACATTTTCCAATAAAAGCCCTAATGAAAACACACACTTGCTATTAAATTCCAAAGACAAAAGTTGTTCGGCACATCTTTCTTAGCAAAGTGAAATATTTTGCATCAATGATTAGAGGTCTGTTAAATTTTTCAACTGTTTAGACATTCATTAGCCTTTTCCCTTAAAGGTCCGATATTTCTGATAGCTGTTATATTTTGCTTTTGATGAAAAGGCACCCAACACCAACTAAATACCTAAGTCTGTTCCGTTAGAGGCAGGAAAAACCACTAACGGCTGTGGAAACTAGATCTGTAATTCTAGTTAGTGGAGTCTTGGGCAGACAGAATACCACCATCTAGTTACTTGAATTTTGTTGGAGCAGGTCGCTTGATGTCCATGCATTAAAAACAAGAGGCTGTTTGTCCTTTGTTTTCCTTACACTCTTTTAAATCTTCTCTGGTGATCTTAAAATGTCACTGTTTGATTGTGAACTACATTATTAACTACTTAGGGTGGGGAGGAAAAGATGTTTCAGTGTGTTTGAGGTAAAAAGAGCCGTTGCTAACTAAAACTTCCTAGCAGATAAACCTCATGAAATTTGGCCCTGAAAAGGAATTTGTAATTCCTCTAATCAGCATTTCTCAAAGGAGGAGGAAGGACGTGCTTGGGCACTAAAGACTATTCAGCACCCCTGGCTCTGGTCTCCTAAATGCCATGGTGCTACCCAGTCCTTGTGACTCCCCAAACCACCAGCGTATGTTTTAAAAAATGCTGAGAGAGGTAAGGAATAGTGCTCCAAGTTTGAGTTCCTCTGGGATCTAGGGAAATTATGATTTACCCAAGATTGTAGATTAAGTGACAGAACTAGAATATGAACTTGATCTTTCGACACCTAGAATTTTAAAGAAATTTAGATTACATGCAGTTAATTTTCAGAAATACACCTAATTCATCAATACTAACACATGGCAATTCGGAGGGAAGATGACAGTGGTTAATCCCCCATTTACTTACATGCTGTATTGTAACTCATCTTGAGGAAATTACCCAAAGGGAGTGAGTATCCAGTTACAGGAGAGAAACGTAGTATCTCTGGAGCAGACAGGGAAGCCACCCAGATGGAGTATCACGCCTCAGATCTACCTTATCCTTAAGAGATTACCTTCGAACCTCAGCTTTGACCTTGACTAGTTTAACGTGTTACAAGGCAGTCTGTCCTATGTAAAGAAGGTTCTAACGACCAGAAATTGTGTCCCTTTATTATCCAGAAATTTACTTCCCTTCAAATTTGTGAACACTGTTCTAATCCCAGAGTGTTCTCTTTCAGCTGTGATTTCTCCAATTTTTTTCATGCATTTCGAGTTCTGGGTTTTTTTTCCCATCTCTGGAAACCTTTCATTTTACTAGTACCTCTTTAAATGTGATACTCAGCATAGTTTTTAAATACACCTTATCCAGTGAGGAAAATAGTTACAACATTGTTCTGACCTGGCATTTTATATGCCCTCCAAAAGTCCATTTTTTGGATGTACTGTAGAAGTTAGCTGGCATCCTCTTGTCTACGTAGTCGTTAACGTAATAATACTGAGTTGAAGCGAATTAAGTTGTGATGCAGATTTACCAACTCAGGTGGGAATCCAGAGATCCAAGTTCTTCTGGTATCACAGTGTAACCAGCTTGTTCAGAAAGATACCTGACTTCTTTTGACTTAATTGAACTCATCCGGAAACTGTGACTGGATTATGCTGGATGCTTTTTAAGACTATTTCCAGTCCTCTATTAATTTAATACAATATGCTAGGTTATGAATTCTTCAGTGACTGCTTTGGACCCGTGCTTAAGGTTACTTCTCAACAGCTTTATGGATTTGAGTGCGCTGAAGTTTCAGTGGTACTTTTGAACGATTTATTGCACCATTTAAGTTTAGCTTTGGTCCTCTGGACACAGCTGGGAATTACCTTTGAAGAGGAGATAGGGAAATCTTTCAACCTTTAATCTAAAGATAAGCCTTATCACATGGTGAGTGTGCTCAGGCAGACAGAGCTGATGG